TTTCTTCCGCTTTCCTAGCGTGCCTTCGTAGTGTAGTGGTTCTGCACGCTGGGCCGGCATTCCAGACGTCCGTGGTTCGATTCCCGGCGAAGGCGATTGCTCATTTTCCATCTCTCCGGCTTTTCAAAAACACCTAATGTCTCTACAGTGGCGCCCGAACTAAAAGGGTGTTGGATGAGGATTCTCCACACACAGGATTTGGCTATTGGGTCCCCTGAAAACCCCAGTCGCCCTTAAAAAAGGGGAGTATATAAGGTATTTCTCCCACTTTCCTAGCATACCTTCGTCGTGTAGTGGTTCTGCACTCTGGGCCGGTATTCCAGAGGTCTGTGGTTCGATTCCCGGCGAAAGCGATTGCTCATTTTTCATCTCTCCGGCTTTTCAAAAATAACCTAATATCTCTACAACTATAAATAATCACTGTCCTTTAATTCCTCAATTTAAAAAAAAATTCATTGAAAACTTTTGATTTTAGCAGATTAAATATTTTTTATTACACCCTAGATGTTTAAAAACAGCTTAGTTTTCTTTCAATTTGCATTAAAAACTTGAAGATCACAATAAATTTAAAAATGGCAAAACATTCTGTTTGAAAATACCCAGCTATTAAACCGAAAGAAGTTACTTTTAGCAAATGATCAAAGAATGATGCAAAAATTTTTAACGTTTTATGTAAAATGACTTTTTTTTTTTTTTTTTTTTTTGAGAAACAATTCTCGTAACAGTTCTTTCTAGAGAATTTCAGTTTCGATTTCATTCGCCTTATGTGCAACATGAGCCATGGCTAACTAAGCTGCTAAATAAATATTAATAACTGCTCTTCTCATGAAAAAAAAAAAAAAAAAAAAAAAAAAAATACTGCCTCGTAATTAAAGTTTGTAGGCAGCGCAGAAGTTCATAAAATCTTCTTCCCCTCTTTTTTTTTTTTTTTTTTTTTTTTTTTTTTGAGTTTATTAGTTTTCTAGAGCATGGCTTGGGTGACACTGACCTAGAGAAAAGTAGCTTTTCATTTTTAAAATCATGCTTGTTTACTCTACTATATTTTCATGGTTAGCACCTGTTATTTTTAGTACCCATTAAATGCTTTCCCACACTGGTTAATGCCGGGTATATCAGATATCCACTAAACGCGTCTATTGGCTAATGACAGCTGCAGTAACAATACGAGAATTTGACACCAAGCATATGACTAGCGTATAAAAAAGAATAAAATGTATTTGCTTTCTATTCTTTTGCGCAGTAGAGTTAGTTGAAAATTAAGTAATTAATTAGCAATATCATTACATTCAGAAAAAATAAGTGAAAAAATTATTACGTACAGAAGATCTTTAATTACTTCACTTTTTTGTTTCAAACATTAATAAGAGGTTTGGGTTTTGACGTCTTTAAGATGGAGTGTCAAATACGAAGAAACTACAACTGTTGAACGATACTGATTCGGAGAGCTGCGATGAAAAATGAATCATGTAGAAATACACTATATCAGTGAAAAAAAAAGATGATTAAAGTGTTGTAGCATGAAAATATGTAGAAATTAATGGATAATAACGTACAAAGTACCAATCTGTCAAATTCGTTAGTAGCGCTCTGATGACTATTTTTGCTGGTGCGAAAGGGTTAATTTAATTACAAGAATATTAAGTATTATTGCCTAGTCAATGTACTTATTAAACCTACAACTACATCATTTAATCGCATGAATTACAAATATTTTTTCTGATAACACCTATTAAGCTTTATTAGCTATAAAATAAATTTTCAAATCCTATAAAGTAATTTTATTTTTCAGCGAAAATGCTTTTAATTTTTGAAGCGATGAGCTTATAATTATCGAAAAAAAAAAAAAAAAAGAATTAAAAAAACTTATTAACGACAGCTGCGAGCTCAGTTACGTAAACTATACAGAATTTCTACGAAATGAGCAGCACAGCCAATTAGCTGGTAAATAACAAAAATTTAAATAAGCTGTAAGCCCGCAAGAGGCCAAGCAGTAAAATCTCTGAACACTGGTAGTTCGACTTGGTTTCAAATTACAGCAAATGGGCTGCCCGTATGACAGTTTTTATCCTTTTACTGGTGTTTAACATGAATACGAGTTAGTTTCTTTTAAAAAATTCTTCAATGAAGGCCCACCAACCCTTAGGGAGCTAGCCTTTGTATGTTTTGCCGTAATCCAATCCAATCCGAAATGAGCTCTTGGCCAGCTTGCTGGCTTGTTAATCGATAATGGCAAAGCAGTTGAGGGCTATCTGCATAAAAGGAGATAATATCTTCGCGGGCGACTTTTTAAGAGAAAGTAGTTTTGGATCTCTTCCATTATAGGGCAACATGTGTACAACAATTTTTTTGCGAAAATGTAACATGCACAGAAGTTGTCTTGGATCACAGTTAAATTATATCTGTTGTTCTTACCTTTTGTAACAATACTCTTGCCTTGAAAGTAAGTACTGTGAAAAAAAACGTTTTGAAAGTGCGTCGCTATACTTCGAGCTTTATTTATTGAAATGATTAATCTAATAGATATATTTCTTATGGTCAGAAAATTTCACGAAAGTTAAGATGAGCTGATGATGAACGTACGTTTTCTCCCTGAAAGTTAGCGCATGTATCTCTCTAGAGAATATTCCGTGGTGGAATATTCTCTAGAGTATTCCAGGAATAGTTCCTTGTCCTATGGCAGAAACCATTTCTGGTTTAAATTCGTATTAAACATGGGGAAAACCACAAAAGTGCCCATGCCACTGTGGGACTGTTAATGAGATTTGACTGCAGGTTGAACTACTAATGTTTATCGGTGCTGTTCGTTGGGCAACTGAAAAACACTTCAATACTCTTGAATTATAAATATAATTAGTTTGCTAAATATGAAGTCTTTTGTTAGGACAATCCTCAGCAATAGAATGTTAATCGTTGCATCAAATTAAATTATTAAATTTCGTAACTAAAAGATTTCTAACTTTGGTAAGATTATCAGTCTATCAACTAATGATTAAATTTTATCCAAATTTTTTTGCTACAGAACGAGATAGAAATGTGGAAAACAGAACAAGACAGAATACAATATATTTCTGTATGAATTATGTTCTATTTAGAAATAAATCGCTTAACATATTTTATGCAAAGGAAAACTGGATAATTATTTTAGAATCACTAATTAAATATAGAAGTACTGAAAAATCAAAGATTAACTTTATTTAGAAGGATCTTTAAAGTAATCCGGGTGAGGGGATATATATATATATATATTAATATTGAATATGTTATCAGCTTTGTATTGATTTGCTAATCTTCCTTTTATACAATGAAGTTTCAGTTACATTAAAAGTTAATTCCAAATACAAATTATTCAGTTCTGATAAAAAAATCTTTGTAAGTCATGTGTTCGTTGGAATGGGAAAAAGAATTTCTTCTCTCCCCTTACATTTCGTAGTCTCAGTAAACTTAACACTTGCTTGGAATTCCAGCTGCAGGTCAAAGAAAGTTGCGAAAGGCCAATGTGGAATAGCAGGTCAACGAGTGCATTGATGTAGAGAGCGACAAGCTGAATGGTTTTCACCCATAAAACCATACAATGGAATTGGTGAAAAAATGTAGAGAAGCCGCTGTAGTTATTTATTTCTGTGGCATATCAAAAGTGAGTAAATAAGTATATTAACTGAAGAAACGGGGTTATAGTTTACGTTTGGAATAAGTTTCCTTATAATAATAATAATGCATATGCTGGTGTTAAACAGTCCCCACTTTTTCTTTAATTTCAGATAAAATTACTTAGAATATGTTTATATATATACATATAGCATAATCATATACATATAGCATAATCCTATTTCACTATAATTAAAGCGGTCCGAAAATTAAGGAAATTTTACGAAAGATAGATATAAAATTTATTCCTGAAAATGGAAGTCTGTGTTCTTTTTCTCTAGAAATGCATAGAGAGCTTTTATTTGAAATTTGTACCAAACGAAAGTAGAACTATGGGAAGTTAACTAGAAACCATATATAATTTAGTTTAATTATGAAAACAAATTCTGAAAACTTAACAAAATAACTATTTGACATTAGTTTCAGTTAAAGAAAAATTATATGAATAAGAAGCTCATTTCGAGGGACAGGTCCTTCTTTCATCAGGAGGGAAAACTGATCTGAATAATTTTTAATTTTGGCTAATCACTTTCACTCTTTGAAAAAAAAAAAGACTAACTTCTTAGTCACTATAAATGCATTGCGATTTTATTGAAATAAATTGAAAGCTGGAATTTTTAAACTTCAGTCGAAAATCAGACATAAAAGCAATCCTAGACTGCATTAAACCGGTAAAGTATGAGAAACTTAAGCCATGTATGTCCCCATCATTTTTATCAAATTGTAGTAGCTTAAAGAGTAATAAAGTATTTTTGAGCAATTGCTCGTTCTACAGTGCATTGAAAAATTCAAGTTCCGAGCACTATATCTGTAGGTCTCGTGGATTAGATGTTAAAACTGGATACCATATTAATTTCAGAATTACATATACAGTTTTGATTACAGAGATGAAAATTATAATTCCTAGGAGTAATAAAAGTACCAGAAGACAATTCAGCTGTATAGTCGTTACCTGTCGAAAGCTTTCTGAGCACATGTTCAGTTTTCCAAACTCTAGACATTTTTTTATTTCCGAATACTTTAAATATTTATTCACGTAATGCATCTAGAAAGCATCGGGATACATCTAGAAAGCTTAATCGAGAATAATTATCATTCTCGATTAAGCTGTGAAATATCAGCTTCTACTTGCCATACGGGGGGGGGCAAAAGACGAGGTTTTAGCTAGACAGACTAAACAATTGTAATACATTTCATATTTAGTATTACCATGCTTTTCAAACAAAATGTTTTACTCGTACTTATAATTCCTAAATAAGTACAACGCCCGGAAAGACAGTTGTTGAGGCAAGGATTAGAGGAAAAAAAAAACTACTTCGCTTAAAAAGAAGGAGAAAAGCTCAGCGAGTACTTACATTGTCTTTAGTGGAGATCTTGTATAAATGTCGGACTCAACTGATGAGATTGTTTCAGAGACAAGAGCTATATACCGAGGGATCTAACGTCAAGGACCTGGATTGCCAATTCCCCTAAACCGGTTTCACTTTCCAGTGGATATCAACTTTTATTATTTTTCTTCTACCACCTGATTTTCGGGACATTTATGAAAGTACAATCTTGCAATCGCAAAGCAACTCGTGTGCAACGGCTTAATTCACGTTAAAGGACGAAAGTGGGAACGGAATACTACGCATTTACGTCTTCAAAGTCTAGACTTCTTTACAAGGAAATGAATTGAATTAATAATTTCATTAATAAATCATTTCTCATAATTGAGTTAAAATTCGATGCCAGATAAAATGATTTTAAATTAAAAAATTATTCCAAATTCCTCCCTGAATAAACTTCAGATAGTTTAATGATTTTTGCATTGTTACATGTATAGTGAACTTGTACTGCAATTTAAAATACCCAAGTAATAAAATAAATATGAATGCTCTATGCCAGCCGTTCTCAACCTGTTGACTGACGCGTACCATCTAAACTAAAAAATGAAAACCTTTAGTACCACCACTACAAAGTACTACTTTCTCCACCACTCTTGAACAAAGTTCAGATCGCATAAACTTACGAGTGTTACAGAAAAAGCTCAATCAGGATGTTGGGTTTTAATTTTTTAATTTAATAGTTAAAAATACTTTGCTTCTTCGCATACCACCTATCTTTCTCTTGCGTACCACCAGTCGTACGTGTACCACCGGTTACGAACCCCTGCTCTATACTCATCTTACGCATTCCTCATTTATGAAATAGATACGTTACAGTCGATCTCTTCCAAGTCAAACAACTGTAATAAGATAGCTTGAGTATTCATTAATACCTCTGTAGTCTTTTTTCCCCCCTCACTATCTTGATATGAAGGAGGAGAAAGAAAATAAAAGAAAAGCACAATACTCATCATTGAGCTCCAGTAATTAAGACAGCATACCATACTTGCATGTCAAGTCTCAGAATTCATGAAATATTTTATAGCTAATAATATCCTCAAACTATTTATGTGTAGTTAAGATGGGAATTATTTATACATACGTCCGCTTTGTAAACAATTTAAAATTTTACAAAGAATTTAGAACTAAAATATGCTAATTCATATTTAAAATGAATGAAATCATCACTGAAAAGTATTTCAGCATCAAACAACACAATAAACATAGACATGTAATAAAATAAAAAGCTACCTTTACATATAGTGAAAATAAATTTAAAAATGTATCCATATGCATGACATTATGTTCGTAATAAAACAAAGGAGCACATTTAAAGGCTTACTGCGCCTGGGGACAAGTGAAGATTTCGCACTCTCTCTTGTTTGTTAAAAATGCAGTGGGGAAAGAAAAAGAAAATTTTTCGAAAAATGTATTTAAAATAATTATATTTTAAGAGAAAATTTCAAATTTTTAATTGTAGATAGTTTTAAAGTGTTAAGTATATTATAAAGTGTTAAGTATTTTAAAGCTCTTTTAAGCGTATATTTTTAAGGTTTCGCTAAATTTACGAAGGCAGAATGAAATAAAACCATACGATAATAATAGTAGTTTTTAAATATGATTACTCTAAAATATTATTCACAAATAATATTGCAAAATCTTAAACATTACATTGGATATAATAATAGTATAAAAATAGTTTGATGTATATTGCTTTTAATATAATTATTAACTTCAAAGAAAACTTTTCCTAGCTTTTGCTGCTGCAAATTTATCAATTAGTTCATCAAAATATATACTTTGAGCAACCTCCTGCTCAACAATGAGCAAGGCCAAGGCTGATAACATTTCTTGTATCATGGATAATCTCAGGTAGGACAAGATAAGTTTTAATTTTCTGAAAGATCTTTCACAACTGGCGATGAAGGCTACAATAATCAGTAAATGCTGAAGACTTGCTCTCATTTGGAAATACAATTTTTTCATGCTATACAGTCATGTTCATGCTTTCATGCAAAGGAGATCATCTGGACGTCGAAATCTTAACATCAGCTCTTGTCTTGAGTAGCATTCGGCAGTCCATTATTTCAGTATACATCTCCAAGCCATCCAAGTCTGTATCATAAAAGGTTTCCATGCAAATGCAACTCTGTTTCAAGCTCTATTCGTTGCCTGTAGAAATCAGTCCATTTATATTTAAAAGAAGCCAAACTAAGAGTCCGTTTACTTCAAGCTGATGAATCTGTCTCCCATTTCTGTAAGTATTTTGCCCATTATATCTTTTCAGCAATTGTAGAATTTCATTTTCTGCTGTGAGTTCTTTGTTCTCTGCAATTTCTCCATGCATTTTCTTGCTCTTTTTTTTTCTGTCATCCTTCAATCCGAACATCATATGTATTACACAGTTCCTTTGATTCTTCCGGAGATTTCATGCATATGGCATCGCAGTTTTGTAGGAAATGTTCTTGTTAGCTTGAATATCTTCAGCAGCATTGTAGAAATTTATAGTGTGGTCCTGAAGTCTTTTCTGAACCAGGTCAATCGTGGCAACTATAGTATTCCAGAATCGAAGAAGAACCCAAAACTCAAAAGTTAAGATCCGATACAGCCATTGAATTGCATCACTTCTTGTATCTGCATTTTCATCATGATCCTGCGCAATATTTTCAAATAGTTATACTAACCTTTAGAGTTGATTTTGTACTGGTGTGACAGTTTCTCCTCTGTCACTCCCACGAGTTTCTGATTCTTTATTCACTCATACCCATGGGGCAGTTTTCAGTCTTTTCCATTGAGAGTTGATCTTGAAAAGTAAACATAGATAGCTTGTATAGCACTAAAAATGTCGCACCTGCTATATCGTGATTAGCAGCATGAACTCCAACTAAATTAAGTATATGGTTATCACAGTTAAAAAAATATAGCTTCTGAATTAAGAGTTGTAAATCTTTGTTGCACTTCTGATTTGTAGCCGGACATTACAGGTGCATTATCGTAACACTGTGATGGAAAGCTAATTTACCCTTCTCTAGTTGTTGCAATATTACACCGGCAATACCTGCTGCATCTTTTCATGGGTTTGAATGAATCCTAGCAAATACTCTACTATTATTACAGATTTTGTTTTTCAAAGTTAATATCTACATACGTAATACTTTCCGACATTTGCTGCTAGTAAGCAGCGTCAGGAGTTGAATCAAACCATTATACCAATTTTATTTGGCACGTTGGATGTTATAGGCAAGTTTTTCTCTAACTGTAATTGCCAGAAGCTGGATAAATTCACTTGGTATTTCTGGTGAAAGATATGAAGTTGAGCCTGGATTTTCCTTCGCATACCGAATGGTGGCCCTTCATAATTGGATCGAATTCTGCAATAAGCTTCAGAAGTTCTATTAAATTTCCAGCTCTATTAAATTTTGACTCTCAGGCTAAATTTAGGGCTAAATTTTGTTTGGCTTAATATTGTATGCAGTGCAATAACCTCTTAAATACTTGTCGCCATTTTTCCTTCTCTGCAGCAATTTGATTTTGAAGCTTTGCATCTATTTTAAACTTTCTTTTTTTATAAGCCTTTTCTCCATTCTTTCAAATTGTGAATCAATTCTGGTGCCTTTGGGAATTTCGTTTGAAACAGAAAGCATTCTATGGAAATAGCTTGAAACATAGTTGCATATGCATGGAAATATTTTATGATACAGACTTGAATTTTAGTATTTTTTCTGTTTTCTTCCAGCTATTTAAACACTTACATTTTCCAAAGAAGAACAGCTACTGACTGAATCTTTTGATGGAAAAAACAGACACGAAAAACAAAATGCTGCACTTTTCAAAGAAGAATTCGCCAGCCAAGTTCGATTTACTATACCTCCTTTTCCTAACTGTTTGGTAAACTATCGGTTTTTATTAAATATTAAAAAATGTCAAATATTCATGCATTTAAAATATTTTAATGTTTCCATGTGCTATACGATATGCCACTGTTTGTAAAGGGGGTCATATGCGAAGCGTAATTATTTGTTGTGCATGGCTGTGCCATCTACGAAGTTGAACCCCCATTTAATGGGTAATCTAAATGCAAGTTGTTATATTTTTTGCTTGTTATATGTTCGTAACTTCAGTGTAGGTGTCCCCTTTTTATTGCTGATGTCTTCTTCATTGTTCTTATGTACATTGTTATTTTAATCCCAGAATAAGTTTTTCAAGTAAAAGACAAAAAATCTACAGTGTTCACACTAACTAGGCAGAATCATATTGCTTCCTCAATTTTAAAGTATTTGTTTAATTGTGCGCCAATAACGTTGCAGTGTTGAAAAAATATAATGTTGAACGTCACGTCAAACAATTCCTGCCCTTTTTGATACGAAATATTCATTTAAGTCTGAAATAAGAAATAAGATAATAAATCAGCTAAAATCAAGCCATTATTGTTTCTTTCAAAATTTTTCACATGCTCGCAGACAAGAAAAAGCCTTTTGATGATGGTGAATTGTTAATTTAAGGGTTTTAACTAGTACCGATTGCTTTTTTGAGGGGTTTTCTAATAAATGTGAAATTTTATCAGCAATACAAGACTTACAGTTCTCAGATTACACCATCTGAAGAGGAATACATGCCATTGTAAAAGATATGAAAGTACAGCTGAAGCGTGTGTGAAATATGTGATAGATTCTCACTGTAATTAATGATTCTACGCATACGTCAGGCACTCCACAGTTAAACGTTAAGGTGAGAATGGTATTTACTAATTTTATTGTAAACAAAATATACAGAAATTATTGCTCATGAACTATGAACAAGAGATATGGATATCTATAATGCTTTTACAGCATAAGCAAAGTCAAAACGGTTACAGCCGAAAACATCGCGGCAAAAACATCGCAGACGAAAATGTCGCGGAGAAAACAACGCAAGGCGAAAACGTCGTGCTACAAAACATCGTGGGAGAAAACATCGCAAAGAGAAAACATCGCAGTTCTAAAACATCGTGGTACAAAAACATCGTCGTCGAAAATAAGCGGTTCAAAAACATCGCAGTTTAAAAACATCGTCGTTGAAAATATCGTGGTAAAAAATAAAGTATCTACAAATCATCGCATGACGATAACATCGCAGACATGCTTTTTTCAAG